GATATATCCCCAAATCAACCTAAAATGTGTAGTTTTAGATACAGTAATTTCTTTTTAATCACTTTTATTAATACAATATTTATTTGAAAGGTATATTTCAGAGAGGAGAGAGATATTCCATCGGATGGTTGCGGGCTATGCAATGCTTAGTCCAGCAACAGGAATCATTTAGGTATGCCAATAACCCATTTAGTATCGCCACCCACTGTGTTCCAGGCACAATAGCAGGATACTGTGTTGATAGTGTTGAATACCCAGTAGACTTAAACAAGGCAATTGGGTATCAGATGTGATCTATCCCAAGCAGCAGCCCAACAACCTGTATCATGACATCAATCCTCTGAGTCTGATGGTTTTCTCTGGCTGTTGCTATAATATAAGTATTTAATGAGGTAAAATAAAAATATATTTCAAACTATGTTGCTGTCATATTTATAGATGTCCTATAGGCTAAGGCAAATAAAATGGCAAAGTCAAGTGTCATTGAAGGTTTAAGAGCTGGGAAATGTCATTGAAGTCTTAGGAAGTTTCAATGGGAGCAGTTACTAGAAAGCTGTATAGAATAATTATGTGTTACATCATTTTTTCCTGTATAAGTGCAGATACAATTACTCTAATTGAAAAATGTCTGTCTTCAACAGTTTTTAGTATTAACAGCAATTAATGTTCTCATGGAAGTCCTTGTATGGAGTCCTATGCAGTTCATCTGTACAAATGGACAAATGCTTAATACCCCCAATCATTTTTGAGTAGCATCAATTTTAGTGACAATATGTTTTTTTTTTTTTATGGTATGTTGTAGTTTGAACAGTAGTTGTTGAAAAAAATAACTTAGTGCTTGGCAGTAATATATTTTTTATTTTTAAGTAAGTATAAAATGTTTGCTTTAACCTAGTAATAGCTTGAGTTTAATCACTACCAGTTATTGAACTTGTTTATGCTGTTTCTAGGAAGCCTCCATGGCACTTGTCATCTGTAATACACTATTCATGCCCAGGAAAGTTGATTGTCTTTGTTTCTCTAGCCGTTGTGTCTGGTTCCTGTCTTGACATTACTTACACAATAGGGAGTAATAAGGAAACTTGGGAAAGCAAAACCAATCCGTAACTCCTTCTCCACCTTTTCTTCCAGGTTTATCCCTGAACCCACTATATGCTTCCACGTCTAGAGAACAGAAACACACTTTCAGTAAGTTATATGTTTATGTCTCTGTGTTACATTGTGTTGTAGGAGCTTTATGATGGTTTTCTTAAACTGAAACAAAGAAATAACCATTGGAGAAAGAAGGTAAGATTGTCATAACTAGACATTGGAGCAGTTAAATCTGATTCAAACTTTTCCTCCAAGTTTTCTGATAATATAACTAAGATATATTTATTACATGATTCAAATTTAAAGTAAGAATTTGTTAATTATTGTGGGATATCAAGTTTGAAATGGTATTTATTGATCTTACAGACAATATAATGAAAATCCTTCAGTACCAACCTGAAAACAAGCACTCAACATTTGGGAGTAGTAAGAGTTTCCAAATATAAAAATAGTTACCAAGCTTTCAATTTTGCTTTTTTGGAATTGCTGAAATAGTATGGTGCCTAGTAGCATTTGGAGGTTTTTATTTATTTTAAAAACTGATTTAAGACATGTCTGCTATCTGCTGATTGATTTCCCGAATGTCCACAGTGGTCAGGGCTGGACTGTGTCAAAGAGAAGAACCAGGATGTCCAACTGTGTCTCTAGATGAATCTAGTGCTTGAGCCATCTTCTGCTGTTTCCACTGCACATTAGCTTAAAGCTAGACTGGAAATGGGGAAGGTGGTAGCTTAACCTGATATGCCACAATGCCATTTCCTTTTACAAGGTGTTTTCCTTTTTCTTTCTTTCTCTCTCTCTTTCTTTCTTTCTTTCTTTCTTTCTTTCTTTCTTTCTTTCTTTCTTTCTTTCTTTCTTTCCTTCCTTCCTTCCTTCCTTCCTTCCTTCCTTCCTTCCTTCCTTCCTTCTTTCTGTCTTTCAGATTTATTAGTTGAAAAGCAGAGCTACTAAGAAAGAGAGAGAGGTGGAGAGAGATCTCCCATCTGCTGGCAATGTCCAGAGAAGAGCAAGTCTTAAATCATGGGCCAGGGTTTTTGTCCAGGTCTGCAACTTGGTTACAGGAACCCAAGTGTTTGAGCCATCCTCCACTTCCTTTCTAGGCCTGCTATCAGGGAGTTGGGTCAGAAGTGGAGCGTCCAGGATATGAACCAATGCCCATGTAGTATGTCAGTTTCTTTGCTAAAGCAAAGGCCTGGCTCCTGCTTCATATGCTTTGGTTTTTATTTAAAACACAGATTTATGGAGATAAGATGAAAGAGAGTAAGTGAGCTAGAGATCTCAGTAGGTAGTTCTTAAAAAGTTGCCATTAGGGAAATGTAAATCAAAATCACAATGAAATATCACCCCAACCCTGACCAAATGATTATTATTACTTAGAAGAAAGGATAACAAATGCTGGTGAATATGTGGAAAATGAGAACTTTTATACAATGTTGATGGGGTGACAAATTAATTTAATCACTGTATAAAATTTTGAAATTATTATCCTGTATGCCCTGAAAGTATGAACACATTGTATAAAAGAGATATCTGTAGCCATCTTGTTTACTGTAGCAGTGCTCATAATACACAATATATGGAATGATCTGAGGTGTCCATCATTAGATGAAGGGATAAGGAAAATGTGCATATGTACAATAGACTATTATTCAGCTATGAAAACAAAATTTTGTGGATTGCATGAAAATGAGTGTAACTAGAGGGTAAGGGGTTAAATAAAATATGCTAGTTACAGTTATATAAATATCCCATATTCTATTATATAGAGTACCTTGGACAATCAAGCAACAAAAACAAAAGGAAGAAACACCTGTGTTTATCAGTATTGGTGCAAATGCAGTCTTCTCAAACAAATGATGAAGCATAATATTAAAATAAATAAGTGAATAAATAAATAAATAAATAAATAAAGAGCTAGAAAACAAAAGTGATAATTGGTTAATTTTAAGGGGCTTCCAAAGCACAGAAGCATATTGATTTATAACAGCTTGGCATTTGCCTTATATGTATATTTTCTGTACAATTGGCAGCCTATGACTGGCTGAGACTTAGCTACTTGTTACAAGAAGGTAGTTCGGAATAAGGTTGTAATTTGTTTCCCTACTAAGTTTGAAGTTCACTGTATTTAAAATTTTAGCTTAATTTAAATATTTTTTTCATAAAATGTAAAACAAATAGAAAGCAGAAAGGATTTTAATATATACATACTCCAAAGTAAAAAGAAAAAAATCACATATGTATTTAAATCCAGAGTAAGCTGTAGGAACTATTCACCCATTTGTGCAAATTTAATTTAAAATTTTTTTCCAATATTTTATTTTTCAAGTTAAAATAAGAAAATATCCCATCCAGCAGGACAGTCAACTGGATTGCAGCCAGCCTAGGAGAGAATGGGGGACAAGAGACACAAGAAACAGACAGCAACACAGTATGTCTGATCAAGCTGACCAAATTTTATTTTTCACACACAAGCCTTTATACTCTGCAAAACAGGATCTATAGGTGAGGAGAAAGAGAAAGTAGGGTCTGGTGTATGCTTTCACAGCTCTTTCTGGATAGCTATCTCTAAAAGCCCCTTATGCTTACAAGAGGTAGGCATGGTTTCACAACTCTTTTCTGGGTAGTATTTCCCAAACTCCTTTATGCTCACAGGAGGATGCTGACAGGTAGGGCATAAGCCAAAATCCTGTCATGAGCACCAAGGATGGTCAGAGCAGGGTAGGTTGCTAAATGACTCGTAAACCGCATGGTGTCTTAAGACCTGGTTTCTCTTGCACTTTGCTAGCTGGGACTTTCCACTGACCTAGATCTATATTCAAAATGGCTTCATATGACTATATAATATATAGCTCCCAAGAAAACTGGAAAATTGAATTTTATTAATGTCACTTTATAAGATTTTTTAAGTATCAGCTTGTTTGAGAAAAATATCATGAATTATTCAAAAATGTTATTATCCTATCCAGTATTAAACATGTGTCTTTCTTATCTCATCTAGTATGTTATTTAGCTCAATGTTCATATTTACAGATTACACAGTGAACTCACTTTATAATTATTAGAGAAAATAATCGTACAGAATAATAAAGGAATTCCATTGTAACTTCAGAATTTCAAATACAATGTAGGACAAGATATTTTGTGTTTATGTTGTCATATACACTGTAATTTAATCTGTGTCTTTAGAAGATGCAAAGAATAGCAATCCTGAGCTGAAGTTTTAGTCATATCCCTCAGAAGACTGAATGTGATACATCCATGGATACAGATTCTGTTCTTAATATGTGGTTTTCAACAGAGAATGGACTCATTTCCTAAGCCTCTGCCTTAAGTAAATGATCCAGAAAACTTTTCTCTGCTTCATAGATGAGAAATCAGTAGAGAAGCCTCCAGTATACCATTGTGATAAGAAGGAATTCTACAGAAAGAAAATAAGAGGGAACATGCCAGTTTGAAAAAACTTAGCTTACTATTGCAGACACTGAGTTTATGTTTATGCTCAATGTTAAAATGCTCATTTATTTTAATTGAATTGAAAAGCAGAGTGGCAATAACTGGGACAAACTATTTTAATCAAATTCAGAGTCATTAGAGGAAAGAATCTGCTACAGAATAATAAGGAATAGTCTATTGTAGTTTTAGAATTGCAAAATTAATGCAGAATGAGTATTTTCATTTTGCTTTTACCCTATAATGCCATATAGATTATAAATTAAGCTGCATCAATAGAAGTTGCAAATTAAACATACGTAGAAGAATGTACTGTCAGTCTTTCTATTGAGTGATCCAGAACTGAGGAGACATGTGTGTTCCAGGTGTTGGTGTCATTTGAAGATGTGGCTGTGGACATTACCCAGGAGGAATGGCAGAAGATGAACAATACTCAGAGGACCCTGTACAGGGATGTGATGCTTGAGACATATAACAATCTGCTGTCTGTGGGTGAGTGAAATTCTGTCATGCCCAAGCAGAAAATTTTCTTTACACTTGACCAATTAAGAATTTATAAAGTTTAGTACCTAGTAGGACTAGTATTTGAGGCTTTAAAGAATCTTAATAATGGAGAATCAAGATGATGGAACAGGGTAAGGACACACTTACATGACCGGAGAAACAATCAGGATGAAGTAGAGAGGACATATTTCTGGAAATAGGAAAGGACAGAACAACAGCAGAGGGGTACCTGGAGACTGACACAGGAAAGCAGCGGGCACAGCACTGTGGTGTTGCAGTGACTGATAACTCCAGCACAGCAATCTGAACTCTACCAGCAGCTGGAACTCCACCAGCAACCAGGTGGGAAGGGACTTTCACTGGGAGCTTGGAAGATGAATCCAGACAAAGAACTGTCCATCCTGCTGATCCGTTTGATTTACCAGGAGCAGAGACAGAGCAGCAAATCTCAGAGGGGCAGAGCGAGAACAGAGTGGATTTCATAGCCCAGTCAGCCCCAAAAGCTGAATTGGGTGCCAGTTTGCGTAAGGAGGAAAGGGCAAGGGAAAGGATGGAGCATGCTCTGAGCTAGGAGTGAGCTCATTTCTGACTCCGCGAACTGCAACGATGTGGCATTCTACAGGTTACACCCAGGGCAAGTCTGGGTAGCCCTCGGATCTGACGGCCAGCAGATCAAGAACTGTAGTGGTGGTATGAGAGGTGCCATTTTGTGCACTGTGGCAATAGCTTTGGAACTGCAGGGGACAACAGTGAACTACACATGTGCTGAGCTTGCAAGAACTTGCTGAGGTCCTGCAGAAAAATAATACCGACTGTGACATCGTACCTGTCAAAATAGATCTGTGTGGCTCCCAGAGCTAACATCCAGCAGGTTCCAACAAGATCAGCACCACCAACAAACTAACTAGATAGTACACCTAGTGTTTCTCTAATCCTGGGACTTGCTCCAACCAGAAGTGGGAGAAAGTTTGCAGAGAGAACAGTGCAGCCTCAGCACAGTATCACAGGAGGTGGAGAGTGGTGAGCCCAGGAGCTGGGGCTGTGGAGACCACAGTGGAAATCTGACATAAGAACCCAGACCTGGAACTCCCTGGAGGTTGTGGCACAATTTTGTGAGCAAAATGTTGCGTACCAACTGCAATAAGTAAAATCACATTGTAGACCTCTGGGTGACACAGCTTAGAAACCTGCCCCAAGAAGAAGACTCTGCTAACCAGAAGTACAATGATCAAAAGCAAGAGACAAAGGCACAATGAATATTACTGAAAACTCCCCTGCAAAGGAGCAAAACTCTATGCCAACCTCAGAGTTAACTGAGGAAGACATTGAGAAAATGGGGGACACAGAATCCATAAGACTCATTTTAAAGATTCTGATCAAAAATGAGAAGCTCATGCAAGAGTTCAAAGAATTTAAGAAAGCAATAAAGCAAATCAAGGCTGATATATCAGAAATTAAGAACACAGTAGAGCAAATTAAATATACAGTGGAGAGTCTCCAAAATATAATGAAGCAGCAGAAGAAAGAATCTCAGAATTGGCAGATATCTCCTGTCACCAGGGGGAAGCAAACAAAAAGCTGTAAGCAGAGCTGGATCAGGCCAAAAAATAGTATTCAAGATTTGAAAGACACTATGAAGAGGCCAAATATAAGACTTATGGGAGTCCCAGAAGGTGCAGAAAGAAGCTGAGTTTGCAAATGCACTTAATGAAATAAAAAAGGAAAATTTCCCTAATCTGGAGAAAGACTTGGGAAACAAGATCCAGGAGGAGCACAGAACTCCCAAAAGGCTTGATCAAAAGCTATCTTTACCAGGACATATGATCATCAAGCTTTCTTCAATTGAACATAAGGAAAAGATTCTTAAATGTGCATGTGAAAAAAAATCAATTAACATATAAAGGAATGCCAATTAAGCTCACAGGAGATCTCTCACAGGAAACTCTACAGGCCAGAAGAGAATGGAGTGACATATTCCAGATTCTGAAAGAAAAAGAGTGTCTGTCTCAGATAACATACCCTGCAAAGCTTTCTTTCATCTTTGAAAATGAAATCAAATTCTTCCAGAGTAAAGAAAAGCTAAAAGAAGTTGCCTCTTCAAACCTGCCCTACAAATGATAGTTCAAGATGTTCTTTTGACAGGGAGAGGAGTAGCACCTACCAAAACCAAAGGCAAATGGGAAGAAAATCCAGCAAAATGACAACAGAAGGCTAAAGCAATGAAAAACCCATTCCTAAATTGACAGGACCAGAGTACTAACCATGTATATTTAACTCTGAATGTAAATGGCTTAAGCTCAATCAAACATCACAGATTAGTAGACTGGATTCAAGAACAAAACCCATTTGTTTATTGTCGGGAGGAGACACACTTCAACAAAGATCAGCAGAAACTGTATCACATGGGCTTTTTTGTTTTTGGTTAGTTTCATCTCTTCAAAACACTTTCTTCTGATTAAATCATTCAGTGACTCGTAGCATCATTTTCTTCAAGAAGGTTCTTAATTTTCATTTCTTCAGCTACATGTTAGTCATTTAATAGCATGTTGTTTAACTTCTTGGTGTTTTTAATTTTTTTTGTCTCCCTGATGTTGATTTTTTTTTTTTTTTTGGCGCTCTTCATTTAAGGGGATGTATGGCAGCTGTGTACTGGAGACTGTCATATCTAGTAATATGTGATTTAACTTCATGGCATTGTAAATTTCTATTTTTCTTTCTATTGTTGATTTTGTGTTATGACTTTTCATTTGTGGGGATGTACAGTAGCTATGAAATGGAGACTAACATCCAGATGTGAGGATGCAGTGTGATATGCATTTCTGTTTACAGACAAAGATGGACTTATAATGAAACTGTTTACTATATCTTGACAATAGGATTCTGGACTCTCTACCATTGTCCATGTCTGCAATGATGGACATATGACTAAGTATGAAGAACTATGTGTTAGTAATGATATAAAGGAACTAGTTGGGGGGTGGAGGGACTTGGCGAGGGGGTAAGAGAATATGGAACTGTATCATAAAATGATAGCAATAATAATAAAATGCAAAAAAAACAAAACAAAAAGAATCTTAATATTTACTCTTCAGATAATGATTCATATTAGCCATTTTGTGACAGATTCTAGATCCAATCTTTTCTTTTTTAAGCTCCATCCAAGAGAGTGTTTTCACAAAATGTCTATTATTTCCAATTAGCAGGGTACCACATAACAAAACCTGATGTGATCTTCAAATTGGAACAAGAATCAGTACCATGGACTGTGGAAAAATCTATACACCAGCAGGTTCCAGGTAGGGCAATACATACTGGGAAGGGAAGTTGATACATATCTCAGTAAATATTCACTGGAATTCATGCTGATTTTTAAAAAAATGTTTCTTCCAAAATCAGCTTATGTCATGTATGAGACAAAGGCACTCTACAGTCTCCATGCATAGTTCTATTCTAACAATGTCTTCAAATGCTAAAATTTATCAACCTGAAACAAAAAACGTAGAAATAAATATTGATCTTTTACATGGTCCCAGCAAGACAAGAAAAACTGGAACTGTTATGTGATGTAATACATCCTAAGCATTGGTTTGAATGTCTGTACCATATTTTCTGTTCTACCCTCATCAACTTAAAATACAAAACCCCAAGTAATTGAAAATGGAAAAAGAAACCCTATTTATTAATGCATTAACTTAAAAAGTGTAAGAATCATAAATGTGCGCACTTCTTGAATATTAAAATCTGTTATATCTAGAATGGCAAGAAACATCATTATCTTACTTGAGCATTTGAAAAGAAATACTTAGATGTGATTCATGGATATGGTTACTCTTTTTCCTCATTTCAGATCCTTACAGAAAGAATGAGCTGCTTGGAACTAATCCAGAAAATCAAGAAACCACTTTCAGGCAAGTTGCAATCAAAAATTTTATAGCTTCAAAAAGAGTTACATTGCCAAAGATGATTAATTTAAGCTCTGGCCATAATTGAAACATGCTATGAAAAGGAAATTGTATAAAAGAGAATCTAGAAATATAACTTCTTCTTTTTATTTTTTAATTTGCAGAGAAGTTAAATTTGTAAAGGTATCAGGTGAATGTAGAAAGCAGACAGAATGGAAAAGGACCAGATTGGAATGAGCAGGAAATGGGGTACCTGTTGAGTGGAAAGAAGGAGGATCACCAACATTTTTCAGAAGAGTCTTGGGTTTTTAAGTGTTCCATGACTCTTGTCTGAGCAGGAACCTGTGGGAAGACATTTCCCATTGGTTGTCTCTCAATCAATAGCTCCTACTGTGTAGTTTCGAATGTCCCCCTCCCTTTGTATGGCTGTTCAGATCTCTGATGTTGGAAGCCACATGGATGATAGAATTGAGACAGAAGAAAAAACAAAGGAACTGGTCTTTTCTTACTTCATCTCAGGAGTGTAGAGGTGGTTATCAAAGGTCCACATGAGTCATTTCAAATGATCAAAACCAGGCAGAATACTTGTGGGGGTGCCATGAGTCAGCCCTCCATCAAGGATAAACCAACATGAAACATAAGAGGAGTTTGGCACTTGGGTACCATGCCAGGTGGTCCGCATTCAGAATCCACTTAGGGAGTTTCCATTAAGGCAGAAAAGTAGCCTTTGACAGGGACTGTCAGTCCTCCACCAGGTTTTTTTCAAACATGCACCCAGATGCTTATTCCCAAAGGGGAAATTGAGATGATAGAAATAGAGCAATTCATCCCCCTTGAAAAAACAACCTATTTGGAGTTTCAACCAGAGCTAGGTGGTGGACAGTGGATAGGATGGAGGGACCCATATTTATTCAGAGCCAAGTGTTATCGAGTCATTTTCAAAGTTCAATCACACTTGATGGAAAGCATACCAACATGGTAAATTGTTCTGCCTGCTGAGTCAAGCCACATGACTGGTATAAGAAGCCTTTTTCATGACTTGTTTCGGGCACCAGAGAAAACGTTACCAGGAAATCTCAGTGGCTCTTTCCTCAGCTTAGTATGGGAACAGAAACTGGAACTCAGTTGCTTACAGAAGGTTTCCTTCTGAAGTGACCAGGTGAACTTAGAAAGAAGAGGGGAGGAGGAAAGTGTGTCCCAGGAAAGATCTCAAAGATGGGGGTACCATTTGGAAAGAGAGGAAAGGACACCATAATTTGTTTCAAAATGTGTTTTTTTCCTAGGGAGCCTGACGAAATGTCACTTGGGAAAAAGCAAGCCTCTAATGTTCCTGAGAACCAACTCCAATGTGGGGAAAATATCAGTGAGCATGACAAGATATACACTTGTAAAAAGTCTTTTGAACACAATAGGAAAGAAAATACTTTCAGCAGGAAGATATTCTTTAAGTGTCAGAAAACTCATATCAAAGACCCATGTAATTGCCCTGTGATTGTAGGAGAAACAATTCAGTTTGACAAGAAAATGTTCCATAGCAATCCTTATGTTGGCAAGCATCAACAAACACACTCAGAGAAGAAACTCCATGAACCTTTCAAGAATGAGAATTGTCCTATTTATAAAAGAGATGTTAAAATAAATCACATAATACAAACAGCAAAAAGTCACTATATATGTGGCTACTGCAAACAGTCTTTTACCTGTAATTCTAGGTTTACCACCAAACAGAGAAGTGATATAGGAGAAAATTTCCATGTGTGCAATGAATGTAAGAAAAACATTTACCAGAAGTCAGAATTCACTAGAAATAAGATACTTCCCAATAAAGAGAAACCATATGAATGTAATGACCTTGTAAAATCCTTTAGTGCTCAATCAAGTCTCCTTACACATCAGAGAATTCACACAAGGAGAAAACCTTATAAGTGTAGTGAGTGTGGAAAAGCCTTTTGCAAGCCATCACTTCTCCTTACACATCAAAGAACTCACACAGGGGAGAAACCTTACAATTGTAATGAATGTGGGAAAGCTTATTGTCAGAAGTCATCCCTAATCATGCATCAGAGAATCCACACAGGTGAAAAACCTTATAAGTGTAGTGAGTGTGGACAAGCTTTTTGTCAGAAGTCACACCTAATCATGCATGAGAGAATCCACACAGGAGAGAAACCTTATAAATGTGAGTGTGGAAAAGCCTTTTGCAAGCCATCAGTTCTCATTAAACATCAGAGAACTCACACAGGGGAAAAACCTTACAAATGTAGTGAGTGTGAAAAAACTTTTTTTCAGAAGTCATCCCTAATCATACATCAGAGAATCCATACAGGAGAAAAACCTTATAAGTGTATTGAGTGTGCAAAAGCTTTTTGTCGAAAGTCACACCTAATCATTCATCAGAGAATCCACACAGGGGAAAAACCTTATAAGTGTAATGAGTGTGGAAAAGCATTTTGCCAGCATTCTGGTCTCATTGTGCATCAGAGAATTCACACAGGGGAAAAACCTTATAAATGTGGTGAGTGTGCAAAAGCTTTTGGTCAAAAGGCATCCCTAATTGCACATCAGAGAATCCACACAGGGGAAAAAGCTTATGAATGTATTGAGTGTGGGAAAGCATTTTGCCAACAGTCAAGTCTCATTGTACATAAGAGAATTCACAAAAGGGAAAAACCTCATAAATGTAGTGAGTGTGGAAAAGGCTTTTACCAGCATTCAGATTTCATTAAGCATCAGAGAATTCACACAGGGGAAAAGCCTTATGAATGTATTGAGTGTGGGAAAGCTTTTTATCACAAGTCACGCCTACGCACACATCTGAGAATTCACACAGGGGAAAAACCTTATAAGTGTAGTGAGTGTGGAAAAGCTTTTTGCCAGCAGTCCGGTCTCATTGTACATCAAAGAATTCACACAGGGGAAAAACCTCATAAATGTAGTGAGTGTGCAAAAGCTTTTGGTCAAAAGGCATCCCTAATTGCACATCAGAGAATCCACACAGGGGAAAAGCCTTATGAATGTATTGAGTGTGGGAAAGCATTTTGCCATAAAAAAGACCTAAACAATCATCACAGAGTTCACACAAGGGAAAAACTTTTTCAGTATGATGAGTATGGAAAATCTTTTTGCTAGGAGACAATTATTGCATAATCTAAGTCACATGACTGAAGAAGTGTTTAAAAACTCATAGAAAAAAAACAATGATTGCAATAGAAAGCAAAAACTGACATGGGTTTGCAGTTGAGTAACATATCCATAGGAAGGAGTAAGAACTATCCTATTGACTATAAAAATCATTGTTCTGAAGTCAATCCTCTGCAGATCCTACGAAGTTCAGAAAAACAACAATATGTAAACAGAAAAAGTAGCTACAATAAATCTATCACAGTCAAATCTTATAAAGTCCCAAACAAGCATTAGTAAGATTACAGATAGAACACATTATAAAATTGCAGTAAGATGTGCAAAATAATAAACATGAGGTGTGTCACATTTCAGAACAAGGCTATGTTTTGCTAAAATATTTGAGATGGAATCTGCTTGATCTCATTTTGTTGTAAATAAGTTCTGCTTTCATTTTTTAATTTTGAAAATAAATATTCTGCGTATAACACTTGTTTTGAATTTCATATAGCATTTATGCAGTTATCTAGTATAGCTTTTTTTACAGTGTTAATTTGCCAATATTCTATTACAGAGCAATATGGAACTCACAAGTGTCAACTGATGCATGTGGCAATTGTAGTGCTAATCACCCTATTTTGCAGGACTGGTGTTTTGTTCAGAACGAGGAGTGATTCATTTGTGACATCTGGCAAATTGGATCACTTTTGGCCCTTGTCTAATCATTGTATACTTTTAGAGGTATATGCAAGTGTCATAAGGATTGTTTGGCATCTGGTTTGGGGATGTGGTAATTGCCACTGGGTTTTAAGTATCAGCTGCCATAACTACTGCTCACGTTCTCACTGATTTCATGCACAATGGCTTCCCAAAGCAAGTTTCTTGCCAATGGATGCCAACCTGTGCCTAAAGTCTTTCAACTATGAGGATGAACATCAGATGCAGCCCTATGGCAAAGTAGGGTAAGTTTCTGGTTACCCTACTGTGGTAACCTGGGGCACCACTGGTTCATGTCCTAGCTGATTCACTTCTGATCTAGCTCCTGTCTTCTGGCTTCACACCAGCCCAACTACTGTTGTTGTAATCATTTGGGATTTGAATAATTGGAATAAAGATGCCTCTCTGCTTTTGTCTTTATTATAATTCCATGTTCAAATGAATTTAAAATGTTATTTTAAGTGTGGGCATCATGACTTATGTTGAGGTAAATCAAATATTTAGTATTAAGCACATTGGCATGGTCCCATCTGTAACAGCCTTGACTATTTTTATTGCTTACTGTTTTGAGGCATGACCCTATCAGGTTCCAAAATGCTGAACATTGAGTACAAGAGAGGCATCTTTTTCTGTAGAATGTATCATGTAACATATTATCAATGCCTTAAGGTGGATAATGAGGTTTGTGTACTTCTGAGTGATTTCTACCAGCCTTCTTATATAAGTCCCTAGCTGTGATCCCTCTGATATTGATACTGACCAGATACTGGCCAAGGTCTTCCCTCGGGACACACTTCAGAAACTACTGTGCAGTGAAATTTATTTAAAGTTTTGCAGTTCCCAATCGCTCTGACAGCATTCTAATGTCCTTTGATTTTTTTCATTGCTTCCTAGGAAGTGGAATAGAATATATGAAGGGATTTGTGAAGGTTGAGATAAAATAGTATTTATATATTCAGGTTATAGATCCTGCTTTAGTAACCATTGGTTGGAACAAGTTCCAAAAGTAATGGATCTACTTTCTGTATCTTTCCACACCCTGTTTATGAGCAACAGAGACTTAACCTAAATCTCCCTATTTTGTCTTTTTTTCATGTACAATTGCTGTTGTTATCTAATTTTTTCAAACTGTTTCTATGTCTTAAAAGATTATTACTTTTGTACTTGAGTGTAACAACATTTAAGAAGGTATTAAGTAAGGTAAAAGCTAATTTTTTTTTTTTAATTTGGAAAGTCAGATATAAAGAGAGAAGGAGAAACAGAGAGAAAGTCTTCCATCTGCTGCTTCACTCCCCACGTGGCCACAGCATCTGGCCAGGGCTGAGCAATGCAAAACCTGGAGCCAGGAGCTTCTTTTGGGTCTCTTGTGAGGGTGCAGGGTACCAAAGCCTTGGACCATCCGTGGCTGCTTTTCCTGGACACAAGCAGGGAGCTGGTAGGCAGTGGACCAGAAAGGATATAAATTGGAACCCAAAGACGAGGACTTTAGCCACTTGACTACTGTACTGGGCTCATAAGATAAAAAGATTTCCCTGTTTTTTCACTTAATTCCTCCAAACACCAATAATTTTTAAAATAATTACAGATAAAACTCAATATTTTTATCTTTTCATCTTAATTTAGATATGTTGGGTTATTTTTAATGTTTTATTTGAAAGACAAATTAACAGTAGGGGCAGAGAGATCCTCCATTCATCAGTTTACTCTCCAGATGGCTGCCATGGCCATAGCTGATTCAGTGGAAAACAAGTAGACCCCTCCAGCTTTCCCATGTATGTACAGTGGCCTAAAAATTACAGCCATCTCCTTCTTACCCAGGTGATAAGTAGGGAGTTAAACATGAAATGTAGCAGCTTGGATTCCAATTGTCATAAGATGCTGGACTGCAGGCAGAGGATTAGCCTGCTAGACCATCACTGACACTCCTTGTTTTTTTAAATGTAAAATGAAAAATCCAAAAAGAGTGGAGAGAGAACTGTAAATCATGCCACATGCTTGAGAATGCCATAAGTATTGAAGACTGAGGTATGAGAGATGTGTTCTGTCTAAATAGTAATTGGTAGTCATTTGATAAAGGAGATACAGTATAGGGTAAATAAAATAGAATCAGTATAGAACAAACAACTGAAAGAATATTGGAGTGTTTTTTCAAGGTTTATGCAAGATGAATCCTACATGGAATTAGATTTACCAAAATTAGAAAAAGAACATTATTGATATTATCTAAAAATCGATTATAACCAACAAAGGCACACACCAATGAAGCTAGAATTTGCATACCATAAAGTTAAACACGTTTTTATGTTAATCATTTATAAAAAGTTTTGATTGCTTTCAGAATCTTTTTTTAAGTTCTTTAAATACCTTTCCTAACACATTTTCATTTGTTTTGTGTTGAATTTAATTATACCTGTTCAACATTTAATCAATTCTTACCTAGTTTTTTTTACCTCTGTTTTCTTCTAATATATTTAAATTCTCCCAAGTAAGAGAAGGTGTCATGTGATAGATATTTTATACAATGATTTTCTTAGGTTTTTCAACTGTTTTATTAAACAATGAATTTGTACATCTTTGGTTATGTTTCAAGTATTCTTTTCTATGTTGCGTTACATTTGCTTAGGGAAAGCTGAGCTCTAAAAGAGTTGTAAAATCATCCAATTATTTTACCTTAAATCTGTGATTAAACTGATCCATAGCGTAAGCAAAAATGAAATAAATTGTTATGCATGTTTTGTTGAAAAGCAGCCCAAATGAGGTAACATAGTCATGCTTATGCCAGAAACTATTTTTAAGGTCAGTAAGTAAATATGTACTAAATGTATGCTGCTCACTCCTATAAGCACTCAGACATATAACTCAAAGAATGCTTTAGAACTTCACTAATTTTTTTCTGCAAGTTTAGTTAAAAATTGATGAAAGCAGAGAAATAACATTCAAGGTTTGAGTAGGCAGAGAGGAAAATGCATAAGAAAGCTGTCTTTACTTTTATCTTGCATCCACAGTGACAGAGTGACCCTCTCCATTGCCTTGCTTCTCATGAGCCTGGAAGGGCAGTGGTTACATGACACCACTCTCCAATCCCAGATGAGTTTGAGTACTGGAGACCCACTCCAACTGACTTGAGAGCTTGTAAAGGATGCATGGATCAGTGAGACAATAAAAAGAGATGAGATGTGGACCACTATGGCATGATGCTCATTATGGACAACTCAGAAAATTTGCCTTCTTTGTTTATACACAAATCATCACAAGATTTTGCACAACATCCCATTGTTTTATTTTAACTTTATTATAAAAGAATGATTATAAAATCAATCCTAAAAACCTTATCATTGTTTTACTTCAGAGAAAATAATTTGAGCAAGTTAGTACTCATTCAAACCCTCACTGACCTGGGTGAAGCCAGGAACTCCACGGTGGGAGCACATGCAGTTATATAGTGACAAGTGGTTTACTTATATTTAAAATCAATTTTCACTAAACACAAACTAACCAATATTGCTTAAAATATCAAGAGTACAGAGTTAAAACATCATAAATGAAAGATTTATAAAAGCATATAACATATATTCTTTTTTATTGTTGTTGTTAAGCTGCTTCCTGCCTTTTTTTTCTTTTCCTTTTTTTTATTGTTTCCTTCATATATCTGATGTAAATAGATTTTTTTTGTAAAGTTGTTATGTCAATTATTTTTTTATTTATATATATTTTTTATTGTTATTAACATTGTATTATGTGATACAGTTTTATAGGCACTAGGGATTCCCCCCACCCCTCCTATACCCCTCCCCCCATGGTGGATTCCTCCACCTTGCTGCATAACCACAGTTCAAGTTCAGTTGAAATTCCTTCATTGCAAGCATATACCTAGCATAAAGTCCAGCGTCTTATTGTCCAGATAAGTTCAGTGGCCTCTTGGGGAGACCTTCTCTGGTCTGAAGATAGGGCTAACAGAGTAAAGATCTGGTCAGTTAAAAGCCCCAACAAAACCTCAGTATCAATATACAACATTATGGAATTAATTGACATAGTATTGGCTAAACAATATGTTAAAAATAATGCAAGTTCCATTCTTCGAAACATCTGGGTTGAGACAGTATCAATGACAGGTTCAAAAAATAACAAGCAACCAAACAAAAATTACAAGTTAAATCAAGGCAAACATGTGGTATCTAACCTTTTGGGATTCGCTCATTTCCCTTAGCATTATAGCTTCCACTTGGGCCCATTTAGCCACAAAGAACTGCATTTTGTTTTTTTTTTAATACCTGAGTAGTATTCCATGGAGTAGATGAACCAAAGCTTTCTTATCCAATCTTCTGCTGATGGACATTTTGGTTGCTTCCATGTTTTTGCAATTACTGATTGTGCTGCTATGAACATAGGGATGCATGTTGGTTTGTCGTAAAACAGGTGTTTTGGATATATTCCTAGGAGTGCTATTGCTGGGTCATATGGTATGCAGATTTTGAGTTGTTTGAGTGTTCTCCAGACTGATTTCCATAAAGGCTGTACCAATCTGCAGCTCCACCAGCAGTGGAGTAGGGTTCCCTTTTCCCCCCATCCTCGCCAGCAAGCGTCATTGGTGTTCTTGTTTATGTGGGCCAATCTTACTGGTGTTAGGTGGTACCTCATCTATGTTTTAATTTGGATTTCCCTTATTGCCAGGGAACTGGAGCATTTTTTCATATGTTTGTTTGCCATTTGGACTTGTTCCTTTGTGAAATGTTTGCCCATTTCCCGTGCCCATTTCTTGAGTGGTTTGTTTGTTTTGGTTTTTTGGTTGTTTTGAAGTTCTTTGTATATCCTGGAAATTAGCCCCCTATCGCCTATATAGTGTGCAAAGATCTCCCACTCTGTGGGTTGCTTTGTTACTTTGTTGATTGTTTCCCTTGCTGTACAGAAGCTTCTTAGTTTGATGAGGTCCCATTTGTTTATTCTGTTCTCAAATGCTATTGCTTTTGGTGTCCTTCTTAGAAAGTCAGGACCTACTCCTAGGTCTTGCAGGGTATTTCCTACATTTTCTTGCAAGAGTTTGAAGGTTTCTGGATGTAGGTTTAGGTCTTTTATCCATGTAGATTGGATCTTAGTGTATGGTGATAGATGTGGGTCTATCTTTTTGTTTCTACAGGCTATCAGCCAGTTGTCCCAACAACATTTACTA